ACAAATTACAAGTTTAAGTCAATGTTACTATTTTAACAAAGGAAGAGACACTTCAGTGATTCTTTTATACGTGGTTTCATTCATCAATGCAAAGAAATTGCTTAACAAGTAAAAGAATGAAAAAAAATTGATTTCCTAAGGCATAGAGATGCATATATGATATTTGTAAGTATACAGGATACACGGTATTTATTTATAATGCGTTTATTTATAAAGCATTAGTGAAATTCCTTGCTCAGAAGTTGAGGTGGAAGGAGTATTAGTTGTAAATATTATCAACATTTATCTCCAAACCTGTTAAAACTTCATATTTTACCACTGGGTTTTTTGTTTTTTTGTTTTTTAAACCAGAATGTAGCTCTGACCAAAATAATCTAAACTGGACTTTTTCCCCCAACTTTTCTGCAGTGGATGTTCAGAATACTCATATTGATTTACTCTTGAAAATTATCTTTTATCAACTAATACTTTATGCTGTCCAATGCCTCTGTAGCTTTGCAGCCTCTGATGAAAGCCCAGGAAAGATAGTATTTGCTTTTTTTACAGTTGAGAAAATTTCTAAATTTCACTTAGCCTATTAATTCATTAATTAAGCTGCACTGAGGAAGTTGTACCCTGCCTCTTCTGCTTTTCCTCTGGGAACACAGAAAAAGAAAGATCTCTACCCACAGAAAGCCATAGTTTCATAACTGCCATAGACCTATACAAACTATATGAAATCATATATACTCCTTAAGACTTTTAATGCACTAATACAGAAGGAAAGTAAGTACAAGCATCATAAATACTGTCCTTTATTGTGCCATTTCAAAGTACTTAAGCTCTGCAAAGATAATGAAAACCTATTTTTTACAAAACCAGATTTTACAGGTACACTGTGATGTCTCTACTCTGTCAGTAACTGCAAGTGGTTACTGGTTCTCTTATAAAGCTGGAACTTGTTTTTGCATTTACTGCACTAAGACAATGACATTTTATATGTTTAGAACAGCTACCTGTGACATGTATTTAAATGCAGCATATCCAAGAATATGAATTAATATAGTTTATCTAGAAAAAATCCTTTATTTAATAAACCCAGTTAATTTTAAAAACTAAAAGTTCTAAACTGTACCTCTTGATAAAACTGCAATTTCTCCAGATCTGCTTGTATAATTCAGAGCAAAAGCCTGACTTAGAGGACATAAACCATCATAATATATCAATTTACCAGAGACATGATTCCTTTATTGTTTACCTCACCTCTAATTCCATCAGACTTTTCTGAAGAAGTGAAAAGGTCAAACATCTGAATTTAATGTATAACAGGTTCTCCTTTGTCACATCATATGCGACTGGGAGCCGATTTACTTAATTTACAGTACTATTAATGTGATTAATATATTATGTCTTCTGGATCAAATTTTGTCCTCATTTCCACCAAACGAATCTGGACAGACTTCTTGTTTTATTAAGGGCAGAATTCAGAACACTTAGATATATCTCCTTTTACATGTATTTAAGAAGAGAAAGGCATTTCAAAATTGTACATCATCTGAAATTTTTGAAAGATATGTTTAAATACACTGTCCTGACCAATTATTCTTGTTTTTTATTTATGCACCAAAATCAGATGCTGACTTATGTACAAACTAGACACATACTTACGAGAGGAGAGATATTGTTTCTGAATACTGCCCATTAGAGGACTCATAGTTAAAATCATAGTTAAAATAAAGTTTTTCTGCTTTTCTGCAGGACTGAAGTCCCCAACTTGTTAGCTGCAGATCTATAGGAGTGCAATGTCATGGATGTATTGTTTAAGAGTCATCCTAGACAGGACTCTGCATAACAGGCTGTCTGAACACACATCTTATTTTATGTGTATGATGTCCTCTTACAGAGAAGTTATAATATATTCCTCAGAACTTTTAATACTTAACTACTTCTAGGGCATGAAGACAGAAACAGTTCCCCATATCCCACATACACCCAGTGGCTAAAAGCCCTTGAGAGACACTAGTAAAGACTCTCAACTCAGTATAGCCTCATCTGATTTATTATCCCAATGTATTTCTCTTGAAAAAGCTAAACAAGTGAAGAAATGGATTTACAACTGAGAGTCTATCAGGCACTATATTGTGAAATACAAATCAAGTGACTTAAGAGCTCTAAGCCAGTTTCATAATGATAAAGGGTCATATAAACACATATGCACCAAATGGCAAATAATAATTCTTAAAAGATTTATGTTTACTCATGAAAATGAGATTAATTAAAAAGTGTATTAACTAAAAAGAATATCCCATAGATTATTTAAAGTATGGTTTTCTTTGTAAAAACATACTAGGAGGAAAAGTAGTATTTAAGTACCCGCCATCAGAGTTAAATTCTTTTCTTATGTACAGTTGGTAGATTCCGGCTCAACTCTACAAGCCTTCTAACTTGTCTTGCAGAGAAGTTGGGAGCCTGTCTAGAATCTTAGACTTCAGGCAATAACATGCAGCAGACTAATTAGAAAAAGAAAGTAGGCCATGTTACAAAAATTGTACTGTTTAATCAGGCCATGAGAGCAATGCAAAGGGAGCAGCAGAACACTGCAAGTTGTCAAGTCAGAGCTTTTAACTTCAGAAAGAGGCACATAGATCAAAGAAGGATTAAACTCTATCATAGTATCGCACTGATGGCATAAATACAAAGAAATTAGGGCATTTATGCACACCCTTTCACTTTGGTGCTAAGATTTTAATACTGTTTCACAATTTAAAGGTAACTGTGAAAAGTATCTCTTGGCTGATTACCAAAATCTCCAAGTTAAATTACTGTCTCCCCTATTGAGCTTGTCACACCCCAGTGAAGAACAGAGATACTTTTTTGGGGGTAAATGTCTTAATTCAAGCTGTCAACTAACACGTTTAAAAGGTTTTAAACTTTTTCCCATATTTCTGCCACACCCATATTCAGACAAACTATGCTTTGCTTCATGTGTAATAAATAAATCCATTCTTCTCCCATGTGTTCTGGGACTGCAATGTTAAGAGATACAGGGGAAGGAAAAGGAAAGGAAGAAAGCAGTGCTCTGGTATACCAAAACAAAATCTAGACAGACTGGCTACAGTTTGCTGAAAGCCAAAACAAAGTTGCCCAGATGGGTGCTTAGCTGTAAGACGGTCTGGATCCATCCCAGAGCTAGAGGAACACAGGCCTAAGGCTGCTGGAAAGCCCTACTAGGGTATGTATGTCTGACTTGAAAACAAAAATGTGTTTCAATCACAGTTATGAACATATTTTAAACTGAAAGATAAAAAGATTCAGAAGTTTTCCACTGTTAATAAGAAACATAAATAGCAGTGAGGTGGAAGAACCATCTGCAAGACAATGAGGAATTAATTTTACAGCTTTTGTCTCCATTAAGTGTTTTGAAAGTGAATACTTGAAAAATCGAAACAGCTTTATGAGTAAAGTGATCTTTTTTATAATAGTTGAAAAGTAGTTATAGAAAAGCTATCACAACTTTAGGCATCACTTTAGTCATTAGAGAACCCAAAATACAAATGGAATCTTCAGTCAGATGTTCTATTCAGTTCACAACATGTGAACCACTTACCTTATGAGAACACAGAACAAGATTGTATACTCCAAATGATACAGCCTAGGAAAATATTACTTCATCTTCTACAGTAGGGATGTTCTGGGTCATGGTCTGAAGTTACCTGACAAACCAGACCAAGGGTCTGAGAAAACCACCTAACTAGAACAGAATATAGTTAACGGGGAACCTGAGTCTAGCAAACCTCTCCCTATGGGATAGTTCCTACGAGAACTTCTCCCTGTGAGAAAGACAGTGATAAATAGCTAACATCAGGAACTATCTGGATAGTTAGAAAAGCATTTGAAAATTATCATAACTAATTTTTCTTTATAGGATTTCCAATATATTTTGTTTTGACTTCTATAATTGAAATGCTTAATACTTCTGTGCTGATGTTGTGGCTAAAAAGAATAATGCAAAAAGAGAGAACCAAACATTTCTGGCTTGGCTTGAAATAAGACAAGTCTGAGTTCTCTTTTTATCTACATGTGCCCAGCTTCCAAAATTACAAGAGATTAAGTTGGTACAGATTACATCATAATTTTTATAAATTCAGCGTTGAATGAAATACTTGGTTATATAATTAATGTAATGGTATTTTTCTTTTATGGAAAGGCTATAAATTTGAGAGCTTTCAGAGCTCCTAGTCTTCATTAAACAATGAATCCTGAAGAAAGTTCAACATACAAACATGGATATCCAGGGACATCTGTTTTACCTTGTTATGTCAACCATTCTCCTAAACAGTGAAATCAACATGTATGCAGCCATGAATAACTTTCAAATGTTTTATTTTTTCACCTAACTTTTCTAAGTGTGTGATAAAACACTTGCACAGCACATTGACAGTGAGTAATTCATAGACATTTGATGAATAACTTAGAATAGTCCTCAGGAAAGAAAAGATCTAAACATTAAATACCTCCCTACTCTGTAAAACTGCATTCAAAATACTGAATACTGGTGTTCTTTATCCCCTCCACTCATCCACTTTCTTCTGTTATTTTTTGAAATAAAAATACAATATACATCCTATGCTTTAAGTCAAAGGAATGAAGTTTACTACATTAGGGTCTGTTCTAGCGAAGAATACATACATTTTGTCTTTGTTTCCACCAACTATTTTTGTAGCTCTGCCACATTCACTAACTACACAAACAGCTACACTAAGAACATTTTGCTTTATTCAACTGTATTCCCCTTCAACTCAAAATAGACAGGTTTCTCTGAATCCTCCAAGGACCGGACCAGCTTTGCCATATTTGAAGATTCATCTCCTCCTCCCCCCTTGATCCCTGCAATGCTTTTCACTCCATTGGATGCAGTAGTGTATGACTGCTGGTAGATGCATTTGGAAAACACTTGTGACTGGATAAATGAAATTATTTTTTTATTTAAAACTGGTGCTTTTTCGCTGATGCGTACTTACCTCATTGTCTGACTCCACAAGCACTTGATCATATTCACTAAGAGCTACTAGGAACATGATAGATGTGACATTTTCAAAGCAATGTATCCATTTTCTTCTTTCTGATCGTTGGCCTCCTACATCCACCATTCTGCAAAATTAACATCCACATCAACTCCATGAATACCTTAACAGATAAACACACAAGCACTCACACAATGACAAAATTCAAGAATTTAGTTGAAAATAATTTGGTTTGTTTTTCTTAATGATTTTTTTCCATTGATATTTAATGGAATCTGTCAGAAGTAGTCAGTTAATCATACTTGCTTTTAAATCTGATGTGTTTAAATTATTGTGGGTCTTGAAACCCTCAGACTGAGATACCAAGGTCTCATGAGCTATGATTTGGCAATAGATGCCCTGTGTACTCAGCAGAAACAGATGTGAACAAAATACACTTGGTGATCTGCCTTTCCCCCCCTCAAATTACCAGAGTAAAGCTAAAGCTGACCCATTCTAAGACGACAAATATAATACAGTCAGAATCTACTGAAATTTTTAATAGCCAAGATTAAAATTCAAATTTACTTGCAGCGTATCCCTACTTCATCCTCTGTCGCAGTGTAACTAAACACAGATGTCTAACTTGCAATTTCAATTCCATAGCTAATTTTTAAACAACTGTACTTGAACTCAAGTAGGGTGATTTCTCTCTAAAGCAGAGCAATTTCTCTTTAAAAATCAACTACACAAGTGGTAACTTTGTATTCCATAATATACATGAACTAGGAGGACACCATTGTATTTTCAGATTATTATTCATAGTGAAACTTTGATATGTATTACTGAAAAGATGAATTGCAGATCTTCTATCAGTGATAACTACCTTCAGAAAAAGATTAACCTAATTGTCTTTCCTCCTTTTGACATCTTTAACATCAGCTCCTTATTATATGTGGAAAAATACATTAAATGACCACACTCAAATTTTAAAAACAGAATAGTTGTGTTTTGTGTGCTTTTAACCAATAACCTATACATGGTATTACTAATGTAAAAGGAAATAAAAGAAACAAAGGAAGTGGGTGTTATTTTTTTTTTTTCTACCTGAAAATGACGCTTTGTAAGTCAAATGGATATTCAATGATCCCTGTTGTTGGGACTCGAACTCTGAGCACATCCTGCTGAGTTGGCAGATAAGTGGAATCTGCTATGCGGTCCAAGTCGTTAAGATAGCTATAGACAGGGAGAAACAACAGGAATGCAAGACAATGACACCATCATCCCACTGAGGAAAAGAAAAAGGAAGACTTGGGAATGGAAACAGGCTGTGGGGTAGGAAGATGTACAACAGAAAAAAGAGCATTATTGTCATAAAAGAGGGGACAGAGTATAAAAATGTACCCCATCCACCCTTCCTGTACACTTTCGTAGCTTCAAGTAAATTCTACTGAAGGGTAGCATAATTATTCCAGGTTTTTTCACACAGGTTTGCTTGGCTTTCACATGCAAATTCACCAAAAATTCAAAGTTTACAATTACATAATTTTAGGCAATTTAGAGACAAATAATACTATAAAATGCATAAGAAAAACAAAATTGATGTTTTATCTGAATACGTAACATATTTCTTAATAATAATTCTGCAGTGTCTACACAGATACATGGATAAACATGCCTCTCCCAAGGAGAAGTGAACTGTGCCAGAACAGATCAGTATCAGTTATAAAATTATGAGGGATAAATGTTTGGAGATTTAAATTAAAAAAAGGAAAACCCCACCCACTGATTAATTAGAAAACACTCCAGATCTTGTTATCAGAAGGCAACACATTATTTAGTGTGATCTCTGGCACCTGAAAGTCCTGTGTTCACACTGAAAGTTCTGATTAAGTTAATAAGCCTGCAGCACATGAAATACACCACAGTCAGCTAGCAAATAACCTGAAATTATTATAAAATTGCTTGTAAAAGATCATTAACTACAAAACAAAACTCTTTTGATATTGCTTAGTCGTGGGTTTCAACCATAAAGTCCCAGTGTACTGGAGGTTTTTATTAATTCTCATAAATGAGATGCTTCAAAAAAGAAATGTGTGTGACAGCCTGTTTCGGTCCAGGAGCTGGACACCTCATGAAACCAGTGTACCAGGCAGCTTGGGCTCTCCCCAAAGGAGACATCTGGGAGAAAGACTGCTGCTGGAAATGAAGTTCTTGGGCATTTTCTTACTTCCTGGCACAAGAATGGCCTAGAGTTAGCCACTGAGAAGATAAATTAACCTACAGATGACCTCATTCATTCTAGGGGAGGAGACCAATGGCCTTGTAATTTACTGAATAAAGTATCACTAAACTTCGAACATGTTCTTTGCCTTGTAGTTATAAGTGAAGGTGTCCTTTTTAAAGAAACCCACACAAGAAATTAGATGACTTCTACATGCTCTGAATGAAATAGTGAGAGCAAGTTATCCTGAACAATGACAGAAACAAAGCTGTTCCATTTCTACTTTACAGCAAAAGTAAAGAAGAATTAACTTGTTAGGTCTGGGAGTCAAAAACATTATAAAAGCTCAACCACTATGATTCTATTCATGAAAGATTCATCCAATAGTTAACATTGAATGTGAGAAAGTTACACATAGTTCGAAAGATGTATTGAATCATATATCTCAAATATAAGTCAGAAGCTACTACCTGAAAACATTTTCTAAGAACACCAATTAGTTTCTGCCAATAAGAAAAAGGCTTGAGAGCCTGAGCACTTCATCTGCCCTCAGGTTTTTACACAAAAAGCAGAATGGACAAGCACATTATCAATTTGCGGCAGGATAGCCTGAACTAGCTGCTTCTTCCCTCCCACTCGCCCTCCCAAACTGTTTTCGTTTTGTGACTGTATTTTGGAAGAGTACAAGGAAGCATTATGCGTCGTTACATGCTACAGTGACATTCACAAGAGCAGGAGAATTAACTGAAATAAACTGGTAGGTGTTGTAGGTGTCACATTTAGACAATAATCGTCCTGCTGCATTCATTCAGCAAGCTTCAGCTGTGGTCTTCAACATGCACCATCAGCATAGGGAACACAGAATCACAGAATTACAGAATGGTTTGGGTTGGAAGGGACCTTAAATATAATCTGATTCTAATCCCCCTTCATGTGCAGAGACACTTTCTGCTAGATCAGGTTGCTCAAAGTCCCATCCAACCTGGCCTTGAAAACAAAGGAGGGGGCAGACACAACTTCTCTGGGCAACATGTGCATTACAGCATATCTTACTGACATCTAGCTGATTTTAGAAAGTCAATATTGTCATTATGTTGCAGAAACATTAGTTTATCCTTAAAAAACACCCATCTTTTCATCATCATCATTCAGTTCTGCTCAATTACTAAACAGCAACCTCCTCCCTCATCTCACCCATGGCACCTTACAGAGCCTATGCAGTCCATAGAGCCCTTATGCATCCCTATAGATTCCTATTTCTTTCTCTAGATTTCTTCACTGTTGGGCTCTCTATGTAGTGTCCTAAGTTATACATTCAAACCCGGAATTAAGGAAGCTGTGTCAAATGCAATAAGAAAACCAATAAAAGCACCTGACCAGGAAAAAAAAAACAACACAAAGAAAAAGGATAGTATGCACAACAGCCTTTAAAATATTTGTGATACTGACAAATCATACCCAGAATCTACAGTTACAACAAAAGTAATTTAGTATACATCCTGATTTTTTTATTTTGAATAATGACATTTAGCCCCTACCACTTTTGCTTCTATTTAAAACTTAACATATTATTGTATCCATGTATTTAAATTGTCTCAGTTCTTTGTTGCACAACCTTACTTTTAAATCTTTTATTACTGCTATTTTCATGCTGTGAGCATACAGCAAATAGTCAATGAAATTATTTTTAAGTAGAAAATAAATATTTTTGTTTTAATTTGCCTTTTTTTTAACTGAGATATTTCTGTTGAGGAATTACTTGTACTGGAATTCAGATTTTAGTGAAGTTTGTGCATTGTTGCTCTTAAGCAAAGTAGATTGTTTTCTGCTACTGAATTTAACAGTTCTGTAGATCAGTTACACTTTCTGTTATCATATGAGGATATGTAACTTCACTTTCTGCTATCAACTTCAAGGGGATTAAACATGTTTCTGAAATCAGATGGAAAGCTTTGCCCACAGCAGCAACACAAAGTTCCCTTCAAGATACTCTACAATCCCTAAAAAATCCTTGTCTCTTAAAATAAAGTAATACAATTAAAGAAATTTATTATCTTTTAATAAGAATGTGTATCATTGGGATTGACATCCCAGTGTTCTTTTTCCATTGTACCCACTGCTTTATACCACATCTAAAGATTTTTTTTCTTTCTAAAATGCCAGTGGGAGCAAATCAACGTACTAACACTCAATACACTATCATGACTTTTGTATTCATTGCATAACACAACATTTCTATGTTGACAGAGCTACATAGCCAAAACCCAAGACATTTTCCCTTCTTGAAGCACAATAAAAGATTTTTGTATTATATTAGGAGGTGGGGTGACAGTCTGATTTTTCTGAATAACTGATTTGTTGTGTTGACTCACTGTTTCAAAATGCTGAGAGGGAATATGTAAATGGATACAGGTGACTATTGACATAAAAAGGAAAGACGATTGGAATACCATTAATATTTAAAGACATACTACCAGCACACACAATTTTCATATATTACCATTATATCTGTTCCTGTAACACTGAAAATTTAGAATTTAGTTTATATAGTTTATCACTATTTAATTCACTGCCACAACGAAGACTTATATTTTCAAATCTTCCTCATACCAAGAGGGTTGGAAATGTAACTTTTTTTTCCCACATGAAATCTGGTCTTTAAAGAAATTCCCTGATCACTTGGGAAATCAGCACTGCATGCCATATTAGTTTAGCAACAGTAACTTTAAATGAAAACAGCAAAACATGCTAGCTAATGCCAATTCTTCTTCACCTTCAACTGTGCTGGCTCAAGCCCCACTCCAGCTGTACCTCTGCTCATACCCAGCTGCCAGCTCTTTCACTTGTGCAATTGCTTGATAACACATTTCTGTCAAATGATTTGGAATAGTGGGGAAATACTATTGAAATTGTTCAAATTAAGCTAGTTTAATTGATGGATACAGCCTGGGGTGTGGAAAGTCCATGAGTGCCAGCAGGAAAGCAGGGTGGAGTTACTTCCTTCACTGGCTTATCTGCAACCAGAAGAGGAATTACAATGCCAGGGCTCTGTGAAATGAGTCTCTGAATGCAGATGGGTGAGGTTTGAAAGAAAATGCAGATTTTTACTGACTTTTTGGTAGAGCTGCTTATTAACAAACCAATTCACCATGGCTTTAAAGCACTCATCTACTGCAGCTCTAAACAAAGTACTGACAAATATACCACTCACTTGGACAAACAAATCGTGTACTGACAAATATACCACTCACTTGGACAAACAAATCGTGTACACATACAAAAAATTTAAGGACAGAAGAGAGATACATGGGGTATTTTAGGATAAATGCCTAATTCAAACTGTATACACAAATACTGCAATCAGCCTTTGCAACGTGACTCTCTCTTCAGCATATACTAGAAAGGCTACCCATGCACTCTTGCAAACAAACCACAAGACTTCAACAAACAGAGTGTTGCCAACCACTACCGAAACCAGATGTTTCCTCAGTTTAACTTCAAAATTTAAACTCATAATAACAACAATATGGATACTGGAAATACCCTGGTAGCTGTTCTGAGGGCTAGTCCAAAAGCAGGTAACCACCAGTGTTACCACAGGGAATTCAGTTTTATGGTTAAAAAGCAACTGTGAAAGCCATGTAGGTCTCAACTATATGGCACTCTTGAGTTTCATTGCCTGATAAGAAATGTCTTACTTTGATGAGACACAAACAGCACCTACTTGGCTAGTCATTATACAAAGGAACAAAGAACCAGCATAAAATTACTTAAAAAAAAAAAAAAGCCAAACTACAGAGGTCTGAGTAAATTTATAGTACAGACCAAGTTTGAAAAGTTTATTATACCTGTAATTAGTTTTGTAAAAATGAATTTTAGTGTCTGCTGAGGTAATTTTCTGAGGGATTGCCATAGTGACAGGCAGAAGGTGCATTACCAAGGCAATGAGTGTGTAATGAGCTTCTGGCAGTGGCCCTCCCTTGACGTCAGGAGAAACTGTAACCGTCCTGCA